GCGAGAGAGGGAACACAAGCAGGGGGAGTGGGAGAGGGAGAAGCAGGCTTCCCGCGGAGCAGGGAGCCCGACGTGGGGCTTGATCTCAGGACCCTAGGAACATGACCTGAGCCGAAGGCAGATGCTTAACGACTGAGCCACCCAGGCGCCCCTAACAAATAGTTCTTTCCATTCAACAAATAAATGATACTGGAAGGGCATTGTACACCACCAATGAAGTGCTAGTAATAAGAGGCTCCATTATCTAAGTTAGTTGCTGTTGAGCCAGAATGGGATTTGTCTGAGTACTTGCTTTTCCTGGAATTGTTCAAGGGACTGAAGACTTGGGTTCTCAACCCCCACCCTTTCACAGAACACCTAGGCACCTCCTGGGGGCCCTGGGGTTCCTTGGTGGAATGAAGACCTTTCACTTTGAGGATCCTTCCTTCTGTGACTAATGAGGGTGGTTTAATATTATCCAGAAATACTAGGACAGATTGGAAGCATGGTCCGTTGCAGTATTTACTATTACTAAAACCAATATTATTAATATATTTATAATAATAATAACACATGTTTGAAAGTGAATGTCTCCAGTCTGAGGCTCCTCATAAATGTGGGGCCTGAGGCTCATCATAAAACCTCAAAGAGGTTCTATGACTTTAAATAACAACTGGGGTTTTCTTTAGAAATCTTCAGAGAAGAGTGTTTCTGCCTGTGGCAGCAGAATCTTCCTACTGAACAGCCCCTCAAATACCACGGGGTGGGAGATTAGAATGGCCCACCTTCACTGTTACCATGCACTGCCATGAGTTCCAAACTAAAAATTGTTAACAGTGGAAAGCATGGATCCTAAGGAGTTTTCCCCCTGCATGTTCATTTCCTATTAGATGGGGTGATGGGTAAAGGTCCAGCCTATCTTCCTAGGCTGCCTGGCCTGGGGATGGCATCAGGACAGTGCCCAGGAAAATCTCCTCAAACATCAGAAATTTTTATCCAGTAGAACTGAGTCCTTCATGGACACCAGTTCTTTTCCAGAGGAGTTAGAAGTCACCAGAACAGGAACAGCATCAGGTATGGAGAAAATGATGGAATAACAATTCCTTACACACAAGTGGGGATTTACAGTTGACAAAGCACTGACCATTTCTCCATCTGTTTGGTGGACTTACTATGAATACTTTCCTGGGTTTTGTTTTTGTGATGATGAAAAGGTATGGAATACAAAGACCCCTTGTTAATTTTGAAGGGGACTCTGGCTTTAGCTCTAGCATCACACAGACTTAGATTTGAGTCCCCCTCTGCCACTTACTTGCTTTGTGACCTTGGGCAAGTCTGTTCACATTTCTAAATTTAGTGTCTTCAACTAAAAAATGGATATAATAGTATTACCTAGATAGCCCATACATAGGCTGTTGTGAAGTTGAAGTTCTATGATGCAAATAAAGCACTTAGCCAGTGCTTAGGGCATTGTAGGCCAAATAATAGTTAGCTTTCAATATTTTTTTGAAGATTTTATTTATTTGACAGAGAGAGTTCTATATTATCAATATTGTTCTATAATAGAATTCTTATAGACATGGCAGAAATCATTCTGATCTGACAGGTGATAAAACAGAAAGTACTGAACTACTAACATGTGTTGTATCATGGATAAATCTAAAAAATTATGCTAAGTAAAAGAAGTTAGACAGAAGAGACCACCTATTGTATGATTCCATGTATCTAAAATGTCCAGAAAAGCAAATGTATCACAACAGAAAGAGATTAGTGTTTGCTGGAAGCTGGAGGTGGGAAGGGAGATTAACTGTAAAAGGGCATAAGGGATCCTATGGTAGGTAGGGGTGATGAAAAGGATCTAAAACTGATTTATTCTGTGCTCGTTTCAACAGCACATACACTAAAATTGGAATGATACAGAGAAGGTTAGCATGGCTCCTGCTGAAGGATGACATGCTAATTCATAAAATGTTCCATATTTTTTAAAAAAACTGATTTATTTTGATGATTGCACCACTGTGTCAAGTAACTAGAAATCATTGAATTGTATACTTGAAATAAGTGAGTTTTAGATATATAAAATATATGTGAATAAAGTTGTTTTAAAAACTCAGAAACTGGGCGCCTGGGTGGCTCAGTTGGTTAAGCGACTGCCTTCGGCTCAGGTCATGATCCTGGAGTCCCGGCATGGAGTCCCGCATCGGGCTCCCTGCTCGGCAG